AAGCTAATTACTGAATAAAACTTACTAACCCTACAGCTGTGTCTGTTCCGTGGCCTTTTTATCCCCGTTATCTGCTGCCAGAGGCTGCTCTAAAGAGGCACAACTCCACTGACTTCACCTTGTGCTGGAAAGTTGATTCCTTGCAAGAATCCTCCATTATTCCATTTTAGAAATAATTGTCTTTTAGCTTGTATTCAGCTAGCTTAATGGCCAAATTAAAACCAACTTTTTACTCCAAGCAGAACTTTCTGAACGTTGTAGGCAGTTCCTTAGACAAACTGTCAATACTGTCGTGCTGCACAAAGACGCCCCATCTCCAGCCCAAGCCAAGGACGCAGGTACCAGGAGATACCAAACACAAAACCAGAGCCCAAGCCTGTGGTGAGCTCTGCACCCCTTCCCTGAGCCCGGCAGCGCTGCCCACGCTGATGGAGTTACAGCTGCCATGGCTCTGAGCCCCATTACCTAAAAAAAAAAAACCACCCCAACCCCTCCCTGCTGAAGCACCCCCCAAAACCCACTCGTTCCTCTATTCTAAAGGAAACCAGGATAAGTAGAAGAGAAATACCAGCTCCTGAAATTGCCTACACAAACCAGTACACGCAGAGTGGGTTTTGCCCTTTAAACTTTCCCTCTCAGAAAATTACTTGCAAGCCCGAGCAGCGTGACAGGCAGTGCTTGCGAAAGCTCAAGACCTTTATTATTCACCCACTTTGGCTCTTTTACTGCCTTTTGCAATCAGTGGATTCCTCGAGGCAAGACTGCAGTTTTTTAGGTATAAGAGCCACTCAAGGACTGTCAGTATTACACTGATGGGGGCATCACGTAGGATAAGCCAGAAGCACCACTAAGGATCTAAACCCACAGACTTTGGCAGCCCGTCTCTCTCTAGGTGTTCCCATCAACCTGTACCACAGCAATACCGCTGATCAATAAATCCTTGCAGCAGCCACTGAGGAAGAGAAGTGTTGCCTCTGTTTTAGACAAGGAGTGGATGGAGAGAAGGATGTCCCCCCCGTGGAGGATGGACAGAGGGCTGTGTGGAGGCAACATGGATGTCCCAGCCCCAAAGGCGGCCACTGACCACCGTGCCCACTACTCAGTAAAGGCAGTAGTTTTTCAGTGCCTTTCCTTCAAAGCTCTCAGAAGACACACCTGAAACTCTTGGCAGGGCACAGGTGCAAAGGGACAGCCTAAAGTCCAAAGTGACACTCTCGGTCAGGTTAATATTTGCTAAATCACAGGAAGCACAAAGAAAAGGTCCAACAGATACCGGCAAACTTGTGCACGATAAGAACCAGTTAAAAACTGCTGTCGTTCACAGCCCCATTTGCAAACTACAGACACGTCCACCTCCTCGTGGTCAGAGCCACAGAGTTTGTCTTGCTCCTGCCTGTATTTTGAGAGAGGGATGGGTCTGCTCCTGAAGATTTTCATCCCCTTGCTGGGACTGGCACTGGCCTTTTATTTTTATTCAGCACCTGAGAATTTCAATGAAGGTAAGTCATTGGGAAAACATGCTCTACCAGCACAGTCAGGAAGGCTGCTGCCAGAGTGGCAGCCTGTGCTCCTGCAGAAGAGCACAGGCCGATTGAGGGGCTTTCAAATTGCAGCTGGAAAAGCCAAAGTGTGGGAGGGGTGAGGGTTTGGAGGGGAGCACAGGCAGCCTCCAGCTGCAGGGGGATGGTGGGGGCTGCACAGGCTCCGAATCCTGCACCCTCCTTCTCCAGAGATGCTCCGGGGGAAACGGGTGATCGTGACAGGAGCCAGCAGCGGCATCGGGGAGCAGATGGCGTATCACCTCGCACGCATGGAGACCCACCTCCTGCTCACGGCGCGGACAGAGGCCAAGCTGCAGAAAGTAAACGGCAAGCAGAGCACACCGGGCTGGTGAAACACGTTTTGCAACCCAGAACCCCACAGGCAGGCAGAACACAGATATTCACCCTGGACTGGGCGTGTGGGGATGCCAGATTCAACCAGGGTTTCCCCGCATGAGCCTGCTCTAATACACGCGCTCCCTGCCACAACAAATTGCGTTTTCAATGCTGACGGCACGTCATTTCTTACTCCACAGTCTTCAGCTGTGAATTCTGATCTCCACCATTGAGGATAATATTAGTCTGCCTAAATCGTGGTCTGGTCAGCCCTCGCCCTTTCTCAGAGCCTGAACTGTTTTTGCATCCCATATAAAACAGAATCAAAATCATATCCTTATTTGCAAATACTAAATATTTGGCTCAGATATGCTATTCTTTAGCTCTGCATCCATAAACATTTCTCTTGCAACACATCTCCTCGTGTGAAGGGAGGAGGGATTCTGTGGGATAGAGAAAGATGTTGCCCACCTGCCCCAAGACACTGACAGCCCGTGTGGGACAGGGGGAGGGTCCATGAAGGGGAGTCCCTCTCCAACACCGCTCTCGCTGTTGCCACAGGTTGTGGAGCGGTGCCTCGCGCTGGGCGCTGCGTCTGCCCGCTACGTGAGCGGCTCCATGGAGGACACTGCGTTCCCCGAGGTGGTGGTGAAGGAGGCTGAGAACACCTGGGGTAGGTGGGGGGAGCTCCCCAACACACCCCACGCTACATTCTGGGGTGATTTCAGCCACTAAGAAGCTGCTTTGTTTTGAGACGTCAGCTGCCAAGAGCAAATATTCTTTGCTTCCAGGAGGTCTCGATATGCTCATCCTAAATCATATCGGTTCCACCTACTTCAACTACTTTGACGGGGACGTGGGGCATGTACGAAAGCTCCTGGAGATCAACTTCCTCAGCTACGTGGCGATGACTGTGTCTGCCCTGCCCATGCTGCAGGAGAGCGAGGGCAGCATCGTTGTCGTTTCATCCATGGCAGGTGAGCACAGGGTCAGGCTCTCCCTGCCCACGTCCCTCCCTCTGCCTGCGAGGGATCCCCGCTGTGGCTCTTCTCCAAATGACAAGAAGGACCATAAGGCAGAGAGCCACCCCGCTGGGAGTCAGGATCAGCGTATGTTTTATATCTCGGATGCACAATTCAAGTCCTCTGGGGGATTTATATTCCATGCCCTGTCCTGCCAGTCTCTCCGCACATGCTGATCACTGACATCATGCCAACGCAGGTTATTATAGGTGCATGGCCATGTATTACACAGGCATTTGCTACACATGGGTATCCACATGCAGGAACAGAAGAACAGTATCACCCACAACGGAAACACTTCATCCCATATGTTACATTTTAAACATTCTTGCATTTGTTTATTTCTCTCAGGCATTCATGGCAGCATATTGGGTCACCCTAAATCACAATGTTGTAGCTACCTGAAGGGTTAAGAGGAAGAAAGATCCTTGCAGCCTGGTGCCTGCCCAGTACACACACCCTGACGTTGTGTCTCTACTCCAGGTAAAATGGGCGGCCCATTTACCGCTCCCTATTCCGCAACTAAGTTTGCCTTAGACGGATTCTTCAGCTCCCTGCGACATGAATTCATCATAGACAAGGTCAATGTCTCCATCACACTCTGCATCCTGGGCTACATCGACACAGGTAAGCTCAGCATCGCCACGGGCCCTTGACTCGGTGTGTTTTCAGATAGAGCTGTTTGGGAACAGGACCCCAACTCTTCCTAAAAACGTGACACAAGATTTTCGACTGCTGTTCTTGCCGTAAACCCAGGGAAGGTGGAGATTGTGCCCTGTGGTCACTCAGGAGGCGGAAAGGACATCACTATAATTGTTATTTAACTATTCTAAACCTTGTTAAGTAGGTCTGAACCCCAGAGTTTGTCAATTTGTTAGAGGAAGCTACAGGCACCCCAACTGAGCCGGGGTGCCTGTGGCAGCCCCTCAGTCTGACACTGCTCCTTCCCTCCAGAGAACGCCGTGCGGCCCTCCGCAGAGGTGCGGCAAGCCGGCCCCCCCCGCCATCCGAGTCACGCCAGCGCCGAAGGAGGAGTGCGCGCTGGAGATCATCAAAAGCGGGGCACTGCGCCACCGGGAGCTGCACTACCCGTCCCGGGTGGTGGGCAGCCTGCTCCTCCTCCAGAGCATCGCCCCCGACTTCCTCGACTCCCTCATCAGAAGCGGCTACAAGGTGGAAAACATCAAAAGAACATTGCCCCCAGGGCACTGAGCACGCCAGGACACCTTGGGCCAGGCATCAGGGATTTGTGTGTCACTCTGCCTGCTTGGGTGCCCTTTTTCATGCCACCAAGGCAGGCCCATGCTGATGCACCCTGGCAGCTGGACACAGGATGCACCAGAAGCCTGTAAAACACAGCATAAAAATACCCTTTTTTAGTAACAAACTCTCACAACTGCCTTTTTCTGACCAAAAGGCACTTCAGAGAAGCTCCCAGCAGCAGGATCTGCTGCCAGTGTCCTGTTCACCAGCACGTTTCCCGCTCAACCTTCAGAAAGTCTTCCCCCACCAAAAGCCAGCAGTGCCGGGCGCTGCGGGAAGCCGAGCCACAGCCCAGGACGAGGATTTGGGCCAAGCAGCACAAACCCCCCAAGGCCACAAGAGGGTCTTTGAAACAGGAAATTTTTTGGCATGTATCCCTTGTACGCTAGTCTTTGCAAAAATAAATCCAATGTTACTTTACGAGGTCTCTGCTTCTAGTTGTGCTCCTTTCCCACGTGCTCCGGCACAGAGCCCTTATCAGCACCCAGCTGGTTAAACCGACCTCCCTGCATGATTTGCATTAACGCAACTTTCACTTCACTAAAGACCTTAATGAATTTCTGCCATTGGTGACCTCTCCTCAGCTGCCGATACACACTTTTTTTCCCCTTCCAATCCACAAGAAGCCTTAAAATAATAGCATTACTGTACTTCCCTAAGTCTGGATTTCTTTACCCCAAAGCAGCTCGGGGATACTCGGTCACTGAGTGCCACAAGCAGTTCCGTGAACCAGCGCTCAACCTTCGTGTGTCGGAGACTGATAAGGAGAGATGGCCCAAAACATAATTGCTTGCTCTGCTTAGAGAGAAGCCAGAGACTTTGGGGTTCCCAAGATAACCCAAATCCTGCCACGAGCTGGGCCCCTGCGCGCGGGCTGCGAGCAGAGACAGGAACCTGGGCTCGGCCGCTGCTGCAACGTTTCCTGTTTGACTGAGCGAGAAAAAGAGTGAGAGCAGCAAAATGAGGTGGTTGGCACAAAGATGGCAGCTGGAGCGTGTCCGCACCCGATAACCCCGTGCTCACCCTGCTCCTCCGCAGCGGTTGAGGGGTAGGACAGGACCCCTGGGCAGGTAAGTGCTCACGGCGACAGGGCTGGTGAGGGATGGAGGGGAGCAGAGGCTGCCCCACTAAAGGCGGCAGCGTGCACCGTTTTTCCTCTTTTTTCACCCACTTTCAGCTTACACAATTGACACCCGGAGGCTATAACATGAACCAGCAAGAAGCTGGTGGTTTTTTGCGGTTGTTGTTGTTTGTTTCCCTTGAAGGGAGAAGTGTAACAGCTTGGAAAGCAAAGATAAAGGACATGTTTGCTAATTAGAGAGGGTAGTTCGGGGTAACAGCGGGAGGAAAAGGAGTATTAGCTTGTCAAGAAGGCCTCAACAGTTTGCTCAGCTTGGGGTGAGTAATGGACTGCGTATTTCTTTAAGTTTTACCTTGCTATAAAGCACATGGTTGGTTAACTGGGGCTCTTACAAGAGCTGCTCTTGGGATGCCCAGTGGCCACACAGGTGGGAGAGGGGCTGAGCTATTCCTGATGGGAAGAGCTGGCTGAGCAGAGACTCAGAAGCACATGTGAGGTCTGGATTGAATATGCAATTAGGTTGTTTCTAAAATAAAAAAAAAAAAAAAAGCAGTGGAAAAACGCATTTAAGGTGTCCTGAAGACCTCAGAGCTGTCTGGCTGTAGATACACACTTTGTGCCAGGCTGTGGAGTTTGCACCTCGCTCCAAGCGAGCACGTTGCGTGGTGCTGGCGTACACCCAACCTGCGTCTCCCCGTGTGAAGCTGTTGGCCAGACCTTGTCTTGTCTTGTCTGCTGGCCCAAGGAAAGTGTGTGTGCACCAGAGGAAAGGCCCTGGGTGGGCATGGTGGGACTGAAAGCTGCATGGGAACAACCTGCTCAGCCTTTCATACCCTCAAACTCCCCCGGCTATAAGGGTATCACAGTGAGAAACACCTAAACAGCGCAATGCCTTTGGGATCCTTCAGTGAATTTAAGCTAAAATTAGAGATGCTGCGCAAGCTATTCAAATAAGAGAATATTCAAATAAAAATGAACAAAAGCACATAAGCAAGTTCCATACTTCAGGGGTCCCAAAGCTCGTGCAGGCTGAGCCCTGGGAGCAGCGTCCTGGCTGAGGGTTCGGCCGACCACGGAAAGCACCGCTTGCCTCCCAAAGGAGGCCACTGCAGTGAGAAGATGGTGCTAGTCATGAGCTAGCGCAAGGACAATAAGAACACACAGGGAGAGAAGCCACCACTAAGAAATGTAATGCTACTGCTTGAAGAGTAAGTCACAACACAGCACCGCTATACTTGGACTTATGCAAAAAAAGAAAAAAAAAAGGAAAAGAAACATACACTTAAGAAGATAGCTGCAGAAATAGCAACTATTGCTCTTTCTGCATTTTCTGTGTTGTTTTCCTATGTCAGCCAAAGAGCTATAACAGCACGCAGAGAAGAGTTAGTTTGTATTCAAACAGCAGGATTTTCTTTTATCATGAAAGGAATCCTCCCAGAGGAAGCATCATTACTCAGTAGTGAGGCCAAATTCATGAGGTTGCATTAATTGTTTAAAATTATGTTCCCAGCATCCCCTGGGTCAGCACCCACCCAACAGAAAAACAAGGTGTGTTTCACACGGCCAACACATGCGAGTTCATGGACAACAGATCTCCTATGGAACACCACTTGCAGCCATTGCATGAGGACTCTGGAACCATTGTCCGATACCTCACATTCATTTAATCTTAGAAATAATTAGCTTTCACTCAAATTGTGCCTCTGCCCTTGGTTTCATCAGGACAGAGGAACCCAGAGCTGC